TGAAAAACAATTATTCTAATGAGTAAATGAGTTGAAATCATTTGTAACTAGTTTGTTTCATTGTTGATAATTTGTATGTAAGAATGAACAATATTAAACAGAATTTATTTGAGTTGTATTTCTTTATAAAGAGAACAAATAATACTTGATTATTTATATGAATTAATTCAATTGAATTATGAAGATAAAGGATGATTTAGTGTAAGAAAATAAGTTATTTTCAGAACAGAATACTAGAATGATTCAATGTGATGATAAAATATATTGTGAATAATCAAAGTTAAAGTGTAATAGTGGTTTTACTTTCATTAAATATAATTTCATTAAACAAAAGATGATTGTTGTTATGATTTTGAATATAATAAATGATTAAAATAATAGAAATACTACAACAATATCAAAAATATACTTAGTTATGATATAAGTTGTTAGATAGATTAGAATTTATGTAGTATTTGTATGTATATAATCATTATTTCAATTACATAAAACAAATATTATTATTTGAATGAAATATTATTTAATTATCAATACTTGTGATTCTTTTATTGTTGATTTAATAGCACTATTTTTAATTCAAGTAATTCAGTGTTTCTTCGTTATTTCATCTGAGCTGATATATTTTTAATTGTTATGAATGATTTGTTATCAACAAAATAGTGTTTTATATTTGTTGATAATTCATGAAGGAATAAAAGAGTGTTTGAATAAATTGAATTTTACAATTGAAAATATAGTCTTTCCATTTGAAATACTTCTTTTATTCATGACATTCATTTCTTATATCATACAATTCATTTTCATGTAAAATATAGTGTGTTTACTTTAACTATTGTTATCAAAAAGAAGATGGTGTTATTCGTGAATGAATATTAAGGCATTAAACTATTTAATGTTGGAATTAGTATGTTAATATTTAATAGTATAAACTATGTTATAAATCCAAAATAACAATACTTCAAATAATAGTGTTGTATTTGATGGATTAATAATGAAAATCTGGTTTATAATAAATTATATGAAAAAAAATAATATATAATGACTTGTCATAAACAAGAGGAACCAAAACTGAGTTAATTTAAAAATAATATACAACTAACAAATACCAATAGATATATATCCAATAATGTTAAGATAAATACATGATACAATGTCGATGGTTATATTGATTTATTGACAATAATACATAAACAATTTATTAACTTATCATTACTATTGTTAAAATATTAGGAGTGTTAGTATCAACATTAAATTTAATTGTTATGATTTGGTTATTTACTACACTTTATTTTAGTTTATGTTTATTCGATTTGACAGTGTTAATTGGTATATTTAGACTAAAAAGAAATAAACAAAAAAATTAGAAAAGTATAAAATTCAAGTGTGATGAAAAGACCAATTTATTAAATTATTATAGTATTTTGAAAAAAACTCATAAACAAATAAAAATAGTTGAAAGATAAATGACTTTTTATTTAATAAAGATGTAATTAAGAAATGTAATAATTTTATTAAACTAAAGTGGAACTAAAAAAATGAAATAATAGAAAAAAGGAAGAGAAAGATATAAAAGAATAAAAAGAAAGATGAAGAAGAATAAAGAATAAAAATAGAAAGTAGAAAAGATAAAAAGAAGATAAAAAGTAATAAAACAAAAGAGATGATAAAAGAAGAAAATAAAGAAGAAAATAAAATGTGTATTTTTATTGAAAAATGAGAAATATGAAATAAAAGTGTATAATTTAATGATGTAAAATTATTCAATCATATATGTTATATGA